AGTTGAGGGAAAACTCCACAGTACAGTCTATGGAATGAGAAGACTGCATTCCACAAAAAATAGAATTTACACGATGGTAAATTACAATTATAAACATGAATGTAGACATAAAGTAAAGGGGTTATTTGACTCCATCTGCTATCCTGTTTTCCCCACCTCCTCATCCCCACTTTCACCTCAACCGGTCGAGGCAGATGACCGCCTTCCCCGAGCCCTGTTCTGTCATAGGTTTTTTTCCCCCCTTCCCATTGGGGGCTTTTTGGTGCCTTACCACCGTTGCCGACCACTTGCTCAGAGGGAGTCTAAAGGCTACTTTGGATTGTTGGGTTCTCTGTTTAAATTTGTAAGGTCTACACCTTACTCTGTTAAGCGCTGTGAGATGACATGTTGTAAACTGCGCCATACAAATAGAATAGAATAGAATAGAATAGAATTGAATTGAATTGAATTGAACTATTTGCAGTATGCCCCTATATTCACTGTGCTTTGTGACAAGGCCGCCTAACACGTCATCTCTCAAGCAGCAAGTTTAATGTCAACAAATTTAGGTGGGTGGCAGAACTTCTACCATTCAATACTATACAAGCAGGAAAAATGCAGACACAGGTAGCTTGTCCAGAATGCATGCAGATGTAAATACAATGATGAGTCACTGTAACTGAAGAACTCTTACCTAGCCACTTAAAGACCATTTGAACATATTAGTAATCAGATTTGTTACTGGGAGAGTCTCCACACAGAAGAGGATGGAATCCTCGCAACAGACAGTGAATAACATTCAGCTTGTGTTGCCTGAAATAGGGCCAAACCCTGAAACAGTTGCATCTAATCTAAAGAGTTGTGTCTTCTGAAAATGTTATTTGTCCTGATCAAAGTCTAGTTAAAAAAAGACAAGACAGTACACTTATACTAGAACACTGGATAGCAATAGAGGGACCAGTGTCAAAGTCCGATTCGTGAATTGTTTTGTCATATGTACTAGCATTCATTCATACAGTTGCAAGAATTAGTTGTTTTGTGAGTTGCCCAGTAGCATCTTGGCTGGTATTGTTTCACTTTGTGAGTCTCCCTTTGTGGGAGTTTTAGGAAGGTTCATATTTGTCATTGCAAAATGTGCTACCATAAGAGGTCATCAGGAGTCCTTTTTGTTAGAGGTAAACTGAATATTTATGGGTCAGAACATCAACATGTTGATGAGCATTGTGGCTGGTTTAATCCCATCATGAAATGGTCTAGTAAAAGCAGACGGTTTTACAAAGGAATAATAAAGCATCTACCTAAGTTTTCAGCATATCTGATGCTGATCATAAACTAACTGAGAGACACTCAACACAGTCCAAAGAAACAGACATGGAATATTCGTCATGGTGGTCTGTGGGACAGCAGTGAGGCCCTGATGGCTCTCTACTTCACTACCCTGTTTATCCAGCACAGCATGTCGGTCTCTGATGTCTCATTTTAGTGAATATAATCACCTAGGACGTCCATCCTGGTTTTAACCACAGTCTTCTGTGCATTCTTTTTTTGGTACAGTCCTCTCAGCTCAAGCCCACATTACCATAGCAACCAAACAGAAAACACTACCGTGGTCCCGTCTTCTTTTTTATGAGCCTATTTATTGCCACAGTGGGTGTAGTCTATCACTGTCTCGGAGGCAGAGTTTTTGGGCCATTCCATCTCAGTTTGGTTAGTGGTTAGGTGAACACAACACTGGGTCACAGCCAAAACTTCTGTTTGAGGCAGAGCTCAGTTTTTAATGTCAGAGAGAATATGCAGTGTACTAGTTGCAGTGTGTACTGAGAGCTTCAGTCTTGGCTGTAGAGAGATGGCACACACACAGTTCACACAATTTACTGTACCGCCACTTATCTTAACAGCAGGAACATAAACTGTGCTGACAGATTATCATAAACAGAGGGAGCTGCTTTGAGGCGCTCTTTGACTTGATGCACACAGCAGAGGAGCCAGTGGAAAAAAAGACAAAGGAGGAAAAAAGCTATAGTTGACTGGAATTGCAAGACAGTTGCATACATACAACTACACACACAAACCTATATTGACACATATCAATACAAAGACAAACAGAATAAAAAGTAATAACTGACGAGTGTATTTTCTAAAGAAAATGCGTGATTGGTGACAGCTGATGAAACATCTTAAAATGAAGCTAAAAATGGTAAGTGAATCGGCCGACTGCCATTGCTTGAGCAGAAGATTCAAAAAGTTTGAACATTTGAATGCTTCTGCTTCTTAAAAGGGAAAACTAACAAACAGAAAGGTTGGAAAGAAAGACAAGGAAGTGTAATACAAAAAGGAGTAAGAACAGCACACCTACATAGGATGAAGAGGTCATACAAGTTGTACTTGAGTGTGTCCAAACACATAACTTGTAAAATGGTGAAACTACTAATGGTGGCACTATTAATAGGGCTAAGACACTATCTGTATACAGGCAGCACAGATCAGCTGATAGTTGACACAGTCCGAACGGGCAACACACTCCCATTGTGAAAGCTCAAAATGTACATCGCAACCAGAGACTACATTATAAGGATGGACATAGTAACCGTGATGTCACCTATTGAGTTTAGAATTTGGACATCGCAATCTTGTTCTTTTGAAACAGATGCAACAAGCTAGTGGTGGATCTGACTGACAACTACAACAATTACACTATGCATAATAACATGTCCTAAAACCTACCCAACTTTATCATATACATTACTCTAAATGGAACTATAATTTACAAAATTAACGCTATGCTGGATTGAAACAGACTTGACACTAGAAATTTAGACCACAAACTCATTCGAAAAATGTTTATTGAGACAACAGATCAAGTGAGAAGCAGGGACATTTTTTCTTAAAACTTCTAAACAGTCAGACTTTTTTTTTTTTTTTTTAGCAACTTGAGGAGTTGCCTCCTGATTAGAAAGAATACCGGGTTAAGGCTCTTCTGTGCTAGCTTCATTCTTCAGAGGCTATGTCCATCTTTGGTATACAGTCCATGGGTGTGATGTATAATATGGTGTGATACATATACGTATGATAAGTAGTCAAAAGCATGTCTGGCAAAAAAAACTAATTAAATAGGAGGAACATTTTACGACAAAAATGGCCAAGCTTAGGTCATTCTCTTTAGTACCACCCACTAAATCCACAGACACCAGAAGTTTTCTTCTAACCATCATGGTTACCAAGATACCAGCCAAAGCATTTTGCAAAACTATTACCTCATGTCTCATTGCATGGGGATGCTATCTATAGCACTTCTGATTACATGAAACACTGAAGAAAGAGAAAGCTTTCCACCAAGCTTCAGTCTTATAGTCTTCATAGTTGTTGAAATACTCATCATTTCATTCATATATTCATCATTCATCAGCATGTGCCCTAAGTTCCAATAGAGTACCATTCAAAAAAACTATTTAAAAAAAATTATACAAAATCAAAAGTAGCAGATATCAGCCCTAAAATTCCCAGCATGAATCTTATAAGCAGGTTTGACATTTCAGCTTTATAACAATATAAAATACTGTGTTTCTACCTGCAAGAGTAGCATTCATATATGACTGCGATTCCTAATCCCACTAAAAACAACAATAAAAAAAAAAAAAAGTTTAAAAGTGACTGTTGAATGAAAAGGTATATGTCTTGAAAATAAGACAGTAAAAGCAGCAGAATGGCAAATATGTAATTACTTTGCTGTTGTACTATTATTGAATGTATTAAGAGAAACCAGTAAACATGGAGGATGTGCTGAGTTCGCAAATTGCAATCTGAAGACATAGTTTGAGCTGACTTTTGATACACCTGTGTGTGTACATGTGTACACTGTGCATGCAGCAGTATCAAGTACCCAGCATCTTGTATTGTAACATCCGTTATGCCATTCCAAATATGATCAGAAACACAGGGGTCTCTGTCCTGATCCCACACTGCTTACATTTTGGTTGAAAGGGCATATTTCAGGTCTGATAATAAGCAAAAGAAAAGAAAGAAAAAAAGAAGCAAAGAAAAGTGCACCAGCGCCTAAAAGTAGGCCCTTCGGCCCCAGGTTTGACTTCTGAGAGAGAGCTAACTAAACGAAGCAAGGCAGTCTACAATGACCGGGTCTTTGAAACCTTTTAAGCCTGGTCTGTGCCAGTTCTGGTGTTAAATCTTGCACAGATCAGACAAAAAGGTGGTTTGAGGTGATGGAGCTTGTAAGAGATCAAAGTTGGAATCCAAAATTTCTCATGAACTGAAACCACATTCTAAGACACAAAGTGTGAGTTCATAATCATAAAGATCCATAAAGATACGAGAGCGCTGATCCCATCTGTGCAGGAAGAGAAAGATTTTGAGACAACTGTAAATTCATGGGCACCCACTCATTTGGGTTGGATACTTTTCCTTCTTTTTTTTAACTACCAGAATGTAATGCATCAAATATTATTTGCTTAGTAGTTAAAACCAAAAGTGAAGAAGTGCTGTGCCACCACAGTTTTTAGGCCCCTAAAGTAGGCTTTACTTGATCAATTTAGTTTCCCCTTCTACATATGCAATACAACTACTGAACCCAATGAATCTAATAATGATTCTGGGATAAAAGCTGCAACAAAATGGAAAAGGTGAATACATTTTATAGATCTGCACCCACCAAGAGAGATTTCGTTTTTTCCTCTGCTGATATGTCTGGCTCCAGAAATGCATGTTTCTGATCTGCAGTTAATCCTATCAACCTCCCAGGGCTTGCTGTTCTGTCTGTTTCTCTCTGCTATCCCTTTCTGGCTTTGCTTTATCATCACCGGCTGGTTGAGGCTGATGGCTGACATCCCTGGGTCTGGTTCTGTCAGAGTCTTCTTCCAGTTAAAGGGCAGCATTTTACTCCCACTGAATGCCGAAGTGAGGCTCAAAGGGAGTCATTGAATCTCCTGCAGCCGGTTCCTACCCAGATCACAGACAGACCACTAAATGAAGTAGTACCCCGTGCTGTATTTGAATGTGTTGCACTGTACCTTCTTCATTAATGCTCCATCTGCCATAGTTGTCGTCTGATGTGTAGCCACAGGTGCCCAGCTCAAAGCTGCAGGAGCCGGGCAGCAGCGGCTGCTGAGCCCGGACGAATCCGCACAGAAACATCACTGCAACAGGAGAAGACACAAGCACGTTGTCTTTGCTTTCATAGCGGGTTGTTAGCGTTCGATTGCTTAAACTAAACAAACCAACACGATCATGGTTGAAGAAGTCAGGCACATAATTCTGGTGAAACTTGAATATTTACCGCGGAGAGAGAGGCACAGTTTGCTCATCGCGAACATCCGCCGGGACTTTGGAAAGTTACTGATAGTCTCTCGTTAAACTTCCCCACAGAACTACAGCGCCAGCAGCTCGTCGAAGGCTTTACTTGTGGTCTTTTACATTCCCAAACATTGTCAGCAGGAGAGATGGAGTGTTTAGTTGTCCGGGCAGATGAATGGACGAGACAAGAAGCGCCTCTCCGCCTCCCTCTGCTGCTCGGAGCTGCTCCAGCCAGCCGGAGGCAGTCTGCATGTCCGCAGCCTGTCTGTCCATGAGCTCTGCAGAAAGCACACATCACCATGCAGGTGGCTGATCGTTCTGCAAAGTGGGGTACATTCCATGTCCATTGATGAGTCTGTTTATTAGGGTCCGAGGACCCCTACTTGCTGCAGCAAGCAGCGTTTCTTTCTTCTTCTTATTTTCCTGACGAACGCGTTACCCTTAATTTGACCCCCTAAACACGCTCAAAAACTCACCAAAATTGGCACGCACGTCCGAATCGGCGAAAAATTTGATAAAATGAAAAAAAAAA